GTTGAGTGAAGCGAAGTGCAGCTGAGGGACGAATTAAATAACGAGATGAGGGCTGTTTGGGGGTGTGAAAGTGGGAGAATTGTGAAGTTATTGTATGGCACATATACTGTCCATAAATTACTTAGCACACAACTCAGCTATTTACAGGGTTTTGAACTACATCTCAGCAAGATTCCCACAACTTTGCTTTTGGATTACTTCTTAGAAATTAAGGATCACAACTTCAATTATCTACTGCATGCAACCCTTTGTTGATGTTCACATCTCAGTTGAACTGTGCCGTGAAAGAAAGTTGCGGACCTTGAACAATGTTAATAAGAACAGTGATGCCGTATTCTGCCGACGTCCATATTCGGAAAAATGGGGAGCTTGAGCCCTTGTTTGGCAATGAGGGCTTGAGAAGGTATAATACGCCTTTTTATTCGATTATGGGGTCCCTGGATATTTTGTTTTGTACACCACAACGAAAAAGAGAACCTCTGAGAATTGGAAGGTTAAATTGATATGGTTTGTCGCGAGCCGACGCTGATGGGATCACGTCTCCGATTGATGCCATGCATTTAGTGAGATATAAGCACGTTGGAGAGGTTGTGAGCAGGAATCTAGTCAGGTGTAAATAAGTCAAATAAGTTGTCATCCAAAACCCTGTAAATCACGCTAAGCTGTCAGCCAAAACCCTGCAAAATGCACATAATTATTGGACATATCGCCCATATTATTGATACGAGTTTTGCAGGACGGTGTGATTAATATATTTCGGCATCGCAGCTGCACGTTGGCGTTCGCGCGTCCGGATTGGACTCGACGCCAGCCCCGCAGGTAGCACGATTTGAGGCGGCTTGGTGGACCTTCGAGACAAGAGGAGTGGCGGTGCGACGAGAGCCCGGTGCCTAACACCTCTCTCTCTTGACTTCGACTCGGATTTTCTGGGATAACTCAAGTTCTGATTGGAATATACTTACGGGAATCTGCTTCACTTGATGGATTGTCTGTCGTTCCTGCGATGCGTTGAGGGAGGCATCCGCTGAGGCTCTTGCTCCACGCCTCGCGCTAGATGGCACCATTAGCACCTAGGGCAGTAACATTGACACTGCACAACAATACTGTACTTACGGTCCCCTCCTATGTTTTTCCTAACGGACTGCGGGCAGAGGACACTCAATGTCACTTAGCCCCTAGATTCAAACACCGAAAGATTGCCGATGTCAGCCGCCGGTGACATTTGCTAATTCCCGAACTTTGTGGACTATTCCTGGGCAGAAATTTGGCAGTGCTGTTGACGCCAGCCTCATGAGCATACGCACCGGCGGTCTTCCAGAAGACCGAGAGGAGATCGGCTTCTGCTTCAACTTGCCCATCTTGATACAATTTCGGCGCATTTTTAAGTGTGCGGAGGCGGCGTCCATTGATGGCGGTATACCGATGCATGCTCCCCGAGTTCTTTCCCCCGCTAGTTTTGAGACTGACTCGATCGCCGACGCTCTGCAATCCCACATAATTCATTCGAGATTATATTACGTGTATGTACGGTCCCTTCACCTCTCAATGTCACGGCAGTAGCCGACGACGCTTCCTCGCTGTTGCAACGTGACCTCTTCTTCGGCTGTTGCAGACAAAGCTGGAATATTCTCTCTACTTCTCTAAACCTTGTATGAGCGGGAACTTTTTCGGGATGTACGGCGATGTTTCATAAACCTTCCGCATCAGGTTCTCAAGCCACACTTGGAATCGTATAAATCTGCCATCCCATGATCTTGACGATCCTCATTCTTGCCAGCACCGCATTCCGCGCCCATACATCGCGACTGTCCGAATTCTTGCGGGAATATGCTGTGTATTTCTCTACACGTTGTCTGAGGCCCGTCTCATGAGCCTCCGTATCAGGTTCTCAAGCCCACTTGGAATCCCATAATTACCCACGGAAAGTATGATATTATTGTCCTTGTCGTTTCTTGGCAGGGATAAGCGCGGACTTGACGCTGGAAGACATGTAAAGATGTCCTTCGCAGATTGACCAGACCTTGCTCAAGACACTATAAATGCATTTCTTTTGGAGAGACTCGGAGCCTGAGGCCATCAGTCCGAATTGTACGACGTGGAAGGTACTGGTGCAATATGTCAGAAAAATCCTTCCCGCCAACTGTTCGGCCACTTGCATTATTAACGGCTTTGATTGGAATTCATTGAACACAGCAGTCTGATTCGAGTTACTAGTTCCGACGCTGCTCTGAGGCGTTCTCTTTCTCATTTGCCCTCCAGCGGGCTAGCCGAGATGCTTATTTGAGACTCGACAGTGCTGCATCTTATAATAAGATTCTTATTTATCGTCCTTTGTATGAACCGTAGCTTCTCGATTATCCCCATTTGCAACCGGCAGCCCGCCATTATCTGGAGTGAATGCTTAGTGTGTGACGGTAATATGACCATGTCAAAGACTGAGATCACAGAAGCGGGAGCAACTTCTATGAAGCAATATAAATTTTAACCCCGTGTGACGGCAATGGTAACAATCCTGGGTCCCGGATAGGTCCCGGGTTCAACAATCTAGGGTTCACTTCAGCGCCTAGAATCGGAGAGTAGGCATTGCCGACCATAACTCGTCTAGACTCGTCGGACATCGGATTGCTCGGCTGGGCGTAAAATAACATAGCACATCGCCTGACACAAGCGTCGCTATCATTGTATCAATACTTATGTCAGATACCGTTGAACTTTGCTCTTCATTTCCGTCGCGCGTATGATTGAGTCATCGCTCTGAATCCATCTGCTATAGCCTACACGTTCCGCCACGTCCAATCGCAGAGTGGTTGACAGTGACTTTGCTTTGAACATGCTCTAGCGTCGGCACGGTCAACGGTCCGTCGCATCATTCCTTCGGCCGAATATGGCCTATTGGTTCTACGATTCATGTTGAGCACAGGTACATGTTTACTCCTCAAGATAACGCATAAACAAAATATAAACGGAAACGGAGTAAAACTGAAGTCTCTTTTGCAATACCGGTTCAACCTATAGTCGAGGATGGCTTTTAGCGCGCGCTTATGCTTGCCATCATTGAGGCACTGTCCATCAGACAAGTTACAACGGGTAGGGTTCAGACTGGCGCGAGGCAAGACGTAAAATCACACCGTGTACTAGAATGGAACGCGGCGCACCAAGTGTGGGAGCGGCACAGGGCTGCATATTCGAAATCGTGCGATTAAGCCTGATTAAACCCGGATGGATATTTGGACACCGCAACTGCTATAAAGACAGGTCGAGGCATTCTTCTACACTCAGTCACTTATACACCAATAAGTTCCTACTCCTTGCTGCAAAACATGTTCAGTTTTTCCAAGATCAGCTTCATGGCTCTCGTCGCCGCCGCTTCCTTCAAGTCGGCCATGGCTGCCCCCGCCGATGTAGGTAACGCTTCAACCAAATCCGACAGCGAGCTGACCGTTCTACAGATCGCCGGCGTAGCGACTGCTGGAAAAATCGGTGGCATAGTAGGTTTTTCAGTTCCTCTCGCACGGCCTTCGTCTGAATCTTCCCCTAGGCCCCTGACTCGGCCCAAGTCGTCCTCCTCAATGTCTGCACGGCCATCAACTTCTCGGGCTGCTCTAGCCTCAATTTTGGAAGTGTTCCGACGGGATGCATCAGCGTGCCAGCCGGATTCAACGACGTCATCAGCAGTGCCCAGGCCGTAGCTGGGGTTCGCTGCACCTTGTTCGAGTAAGTGTCTCGATTCCTTGAATACGCTGTTTTCTCATATGCGGAATATAGGAACTCTGGATGCGGTGGAAGGAGTGTCACCATCGCGGGCAACGTTGCCAACTTCGTTGACATCGGCTTCAACGACCTGACCAGCTCCCTCTCGTGTGTCAGCACGTAAAGGCAGAGCATCGTCCCTACGTTGAATTAGGTCCATCGGATTCAGTGTACTGAAGTTGATATCTTGTCTGAAAATGGGTATTTCAAAGTGTTGACATGTCGGAGGGATTATGCTCCTTGAGCGCTTGAGCTTTTGTGGGAGGCAGCGCCCAATTTACCGACCCCAATTTTGTAAAAAAAAGCTACGTTTGCGGTTGCCCGCTGATTGCAAACCTTTCAGCCAGTTCGCAAGCTCATCGGTGGCAACAAAATTTAACGTCCCGGGCTGTCTGCTTCACCATGGAGCCGGAAAAATGGATTATGATTAATCTTGGTTTATATGAAAAGAATACGCCTTTGTGGCCATGTCGGTTTTTCTGATGCTTCGTCAAGGAGGTGAGTAGGGACAGCGGGGGGTTTGATTCCATCGGAAGGCCTGCAACGGCCCTTGTCTCTTCTTATTTTAGACCGTGAAGCGTGGGGGAGATGCTAAATGGAGGAGCAAAGGAGAATCAAGGCTCCCTGATATGGGGTTGAAAACAGGTGAATGGAATATAATTATGCCGTGGTGACCGTGGCAGTCAAACTGTATGACTTCCCTCACAAGTGAGTAGGCAACCGGAAGGTAGGAGTTCGATTCCCTTCTCGGGCGTATGCTCACGCGTGTTTTTTTTTCCCCATTCCCAACTCCAAAAAAAGAAAAATCGAGTGTAAATACTGGTTGACACGGAGTGAGGACGATCACCACGGTCCGCGAAGGCTCCATTGTTTTCCTGTAAGCTCGTCTTTATCCTATCTTACTTCAGCGGCGGGGAAAAATACTTGAAGAAAGTTCATGCCTTCGGGGGGGATCGAAGCCCCGTTTCCCTCCTATCGCATTGCAAGCCTTCCACTACAGTGTGAGGACAGCCGCAACGGACCACGAGGACTTCATTAGCATCTCTTACGCATGTATTTATACAGATATGGTTTTGTGTTGCACCTCGGTGATTCTTGTTTTTTAATGGGCGAAATAAGCCCTTAAAACAATCGAGGTCAATATTATTCACTCCGGCTCCACCTTGGCGCCGGAGCATAAACCACAACGATGTGGGTATGCCACACAGAGCTCCGCAAAAAAAAAAAGAGGTGTGTAACTGCATCTGACACGCCTTCGAGGGGAATCGAACCCCCGCCTCCCTGCAGACGCGCCGTTTTGGATCATGTGAGCAAGGCGACCTCCATGGCCTACGAAGGCTGGATTGTATTGTTGCGGAGTTGGATACAAGCCACTCATATTGTGTGGTTCAGCAGGTGAAGGATGAGGGGCATATCTTACTGAAAAGAATGAAAGGCGGAGAGCGAAAGATAATGCTCGAGTAGGCGTGGCGGGGATGAAGCACCAGGCAGCGTCCACTTCCAGAATCAATTGCAAAGAGTGCAGTGCTCCAGATGAAGAGAGAAAGCACGCGTGCGAATAAAAGGCGCGAAATGGTCTGAGTGCACAATTATCGACGAAGACCGGGATAAAATGAGTGGGAGACGGTGACGCAGGCTCGTAGGATCCGGAGATATAAAGGCGCAATTGCGCACTCGAAGAATGTGACAATAGCAAGAAAGAACAAAGCGCGGAGGAAAAGAAAGAAGTAAAGAAAGAAAGAAAAGAGGAAGGCGCGAAACACGAGGGCGAGGAAGGAAAGACAAACCAGGAGATAGTGTCCCGAGGTGCATGAGCCGAGAGATGTGCGTAGCGTTCTTGGTTAATTGCGCATACGGGCTCAGCGGCGGGGCGCGGAGCTCCCAGATGCGTGGCGGATAAGTGCACGTATGTGTCCGCACGCCGAGATGCGTGTGCGTGGATCAGCGAGATATGCCGCGGCGGAGAAAGGGGAGGACGGCGTGCGCGTGCGACGTGTGGGCTAGGGTGACAGGAGGTAGAAGAGGGTGCGGGTATGCGGAAGACGAGGACGAGGGCAAGAGTAAGAAGAGCCAAAGGATGGAACGGCAGGCGATGCACTGCCGTCGGGTGCATGGGTGGAGGCGTCGGAACTACCAGGGGTGCGTGCAGTGCAGACAATGACTAGACAATAAGGACAAGAATAGAACAAGAAACAAAACGGGCGCAGGAAAAGATGACAATGCAAGAAAAGTAAAGAAAGAAGGAACACAAAGCTCGCCGATGACATTCGGTACAAGAAAAAAAGGAGAAAAAGATAAGTTAAGAAAAGAAAATTTTGACAGTGAAAACACGCCGCCTCAAACTCGCTCAAGCACCGGTGCTGCACTACATTCCCGGCGGGGGAGGGGGCGCGTATGGGTTTGGGGCCCTATATGTACAAGGCGCTTCGGCGCAGCAAGATGGGCGTGTGCGTCGGGTAGAAGTGCGCGGGAGGGGGGCGATACTGTAAGAGGACGAGGGGGCGGATTGGGAAGAAGAGGCAAATGACGCAGGCAGCACGCGAGGGGGCGGACAGCACAGACACGTCGCGTACAGGAGTTCTCGCCGCATACAGTACTGAACGCCCTGAGCGAGGAGCGATGAGGAGAGAGAGATCAAGGAGCGTTATTTTATGCTGTTATTTTCGCGTGGGCGCACCAAACAATGCGCCTCTTGTTTGCTCCCGCCTCGGCTCGAATCCTGAGAACCGTACCTTGACGCTGGTTCGAGCCAATAAAATCAAAATGGCTCACAGGTAACTCACAGGATGAGCCAGGCTACGGCAGACTGCACAGCGCCGGCTGTGCTCTAGGCATGGACGGCCCCAGATCGGCCGCAGCTCCCGGCCCGCGTCAATCGTAGGCGCTTACTCCCACCTTGTCCCCACCTTCGTCTTCGAGATCCATAATCCACTCGCCCCGACCGAGGTAGTCTCTGCAACGCCATATCACCTTCATCTCGGCCCCCACATGACTCGGATCCCTCAAGAGCCGCAGGAAAACTCCCGGACCGTCCCAGGTGCAGGCGGACGAGCCTCGGTTCCGACCCATTTCTCGGTGGGTCACTGCGAGGATGGAGTGCGAATTACTGACCAATGCGTGATTAGGACATCACTGAGCAGATCAAACAACAAACTACGTCTATGCAGCAGGAGTTCACCCGGCTACAAAGCCAATTAGTCGAGAATCACAACGCAGTGCTTGCCAGGTGCGACGCCGCTGTCGAACAGCGGCATACCTTCCTTGTATATCCTGATTTTATTGCCAGGCTCGACTCACTCCCGGTCAGCGGTGCCAATTCCGTTGCGGCGCAGCGAAGTGACTGGCAACACACCTCGATCGTTCGCGTCAAATATGTTCAAGATATGGCTGTGTTGGCGTATCCTGTCGTTCGTTGGGTCGATCCCAATGACGGCAGCACCAAATGGAAAGGGCTCGGTCCGTACAAAGCGGTCGGCACGCAACAAGAATTTAACCTGGTGGACGAAAAAATCCCTGACGGCGCATCCGTAAATACTTTTTCGAATTTACTCATAATTGCTTGCTCAGATCGTTTCTCTAGGTACAGTTTTCTTCCTATGTCGTGGGCATTGGTGGTACGTACCTTTTCCCACTACAATGCAGTTCACTCTAATTATAATTTGGCCAGAATATGAGAACGACCGGTGGTTCACAATCGACAGTTCCTGCTCTCAAGGCGTCACTTTTAGACAGTAATCCCATTGTCTCAATCATATCCCGCCTGAATTGCAACTCACATCTCTTTTTAGGAGCGGGACAGCGTTCAAGGGTTGGTTTCAATACATATGTTTATACCGTGAGTCGCGGAAGTCGATTGAATAATCATTAATCCTCAGAGGTCATTCACCCAGGCCCCTTTATCGCCCAGGACAACTCGCAGTCTGTCAGCATCACCAAGTAAATCCGGATTAAAGCTACCTCTGACAGGAATCACAGGCGGGTGCCATCTCCCGTCTCAAATACCTGCAGAACGCAGCCGTCCTGTCGTATCTTATCGCCCGCTGGACCGATCCGAACGACGGCAGCGCCCATCGCAAGGATCTCGGCCGGTGGAAGGCGATAGCCACAAACGAAGAATTCAACCTCGCTGAGGAAGGAATTCCTGATGGATCACAGGTTGATATACTCCAACCTATTGCTGATTCTTCCTGGCCCTGAGGGCCGACTGATCGTTTGCGCAGGTCCGGTTCGCATCCTACGTCGCCGGTATCGGGGGTTCGTCCACTCTATTTTTTGAAAACCCCAATTCGGCCTGCGCTGACGGTGACATTTTATCGACACCAGAATACCCCAACGATCTTGTGTTCACGGTGGATAGTTCTGCCCCCGAAGGAGCGCTGTTCAGACAGTGCGGACTGTTTCCTCATTTGATGCTGAATCGCGCACGACTCATGACATCCATCGTAGGTCCGGGACGGCGTTCAAAGGGTCCTTCGCTTTAGAAGATTTGTATCATGGTCCGGAGGACCTCCCGCGGTCGGTGGACGATCTGAAAAAATGAAAACATATTCCGCGTCCCTCGCCATTTGCCTCACAATTTGTGGATACCATCTGTTGTGAATATTTTTGTGAACTTGTACTCTTTATCAAAGGAAATTAACGTTTACCCATGAGCTATGGCTGCTGCATGGAGGCCAGTGCCACGCGTGGTCTGAGGTACGAAAATGGCGCGTCAACCCCGCGGCCGTGTTCGCTCCTCTCAGTGTCCAGCTCTTATGGGATTTATAGTCCGCAGGAAATGATGCTGTCACTCTTCCCTCGAAGGCGTCCAACTCGCATAGGAGCCTTTGTGGTGTTTTTATTTTTGAAGAATAAGGCTTTAGAGGAAGGAGTGGACTGCGCAACGTACTTGTGCAGGGCGCTGATTCTCTGCACCGGTAGGTAGGTAAGTAGGTATGCAGAAAACTGAGATATTCTTGCAATTCTCATGCACGTCGAGTACATATACGTGCTATTTATAGAAAGACCACGAGGTTCCCGTGTGCCAGGAAAGCGCCCGTTGCCCCTGAAATTTACTGATTTTTACTCGTGCAAGGAGAGTGGTTTGGAAGCAGCAGCGGGTCGAGCTCGTGAATAACTGAGAATATCAATATGTACCTGGTATATTACTAGACTGGCGGGATATTCAGGTTGAGGTGGGATCTGTCGTAAGCTCATCATGTTGAATCATGAGGTCGACAGCGATCCTGATGAAAAGATTTCCGTGATGACAATCTCATTGGCAAGGATTTAGGTCCAGATGACTTTTAGTTCTAGAGGGACTTGACCGAGAGTATTTATCTGGGGCGATTAGATCCTGTTGAACCATCGCGCCATGGGCAGGACTGAGTTGCAGGAAGGTGCGAGTCTCAAGGCGTTAATCTACGATCTCTCCATCAATTAGAAGAAAGATTCGAGAAGAATTTAGGTGTGTTCTCTCCCTTGAAAAGTTGACGGTCTGTGCGAGCCAACGGGTGCGGATATCACGTTTAGTTCTCCGACCTGTCGCTGCGGCAGTGGGGTGAATTAATTATGCACCCGTTGTATGCTGATACTGCGGAGCCGGGCTGTGGAGATGTATTCGGCGCTTCAGAGCGTAATGAAGAAGGGCAGGACAGATACATAAGTCTCGGTTTCGAACCAGGTTATTGGGATCAGCGGAATTTCGGCGATCACCGCGCCGACAGTGAAAGGAGAGAAGCTGTGTCGGCCCGACACAGCTTCTCTCTCTTCTCTCACCACTTATGGAGAGCGGCGTAAGGTCGGATGGAATATAGGAATCTGGACTCGATGTCAAAATCCTATGACAGACTGGGAACTCCTCGTTTATGTCTGGCAGGCCTCTCTGATTACTAGCTCTCAAGGTCCATAAAACGTTGGTGTTCTGCCTCCAATATGGAGTTGCTCGCCCACTCCGGAGCAACTGGTCTTGTAGCGCGCGCCAGCTCGGCGGAGTTACTTCCGTCAATCCCAATAGCCGCACACTGCGGCCCGCCTGTGGTGCACAAATAACGGGAATAGTGCGATTGGGGCGGTTAGAATGTTCCCACTGCCTTATCCAAAGCTATCGCCGCAGCAGGCGCGAATCATCAGACCCAATCTTGGTTCTGTCTGTCGAGGACAACACAGGTGAGAAGTGTTTTCGACTAAAAGCTTATCCATTTCATCTATCTTGCCGACCAACAGATGGATGAAGTTCGCCACCGATCCACGGCCTTCCCATGCAGTGTATGATCCTGGTCATCTGAAGATCCCGCACTTAATATAGGCCTGCTTATGAGGAGGGCATATCGTTCGTGATTCTGTTCTTCTTCCCTCTTT